CATTCCTGCAATGTGCATGGGAGGGGGCACAAAATGGTGAAGCACCACAAAGCAGGAGACCACCCCCTTGGCTCAGGGCCGCAGCACCACTTCTGAAGAGGAACAGTTTTCTCTACAAGAGGTGTAACAGGGCTCCCCCAGCATGTCCCAGCAGCAACACTGGGCAAGAAGGGACTGTCCAGCCACCTTGTCCCCAGGGGCCTCAGGAAGCCACAGAACCCAGATGCAGACATACTCTTCAGCACTACAGTAATACCACTTCAGTTCTGAGCCTTGCAGCTTCCACAGGCTTCAGTTAAAGTGACCTCCTGAAAACCAAGGTGACAACTGACTCCAAGGTAAACACGTCCCCTCTGTTTGAATCAGGACAGGTTATCACCACAGGTGACACTCCTCCATCCTCACTAGCTGAGCTCATCTGTTTCCCTAGAAACATCTTCTCCCAACTTAGTTTAAATACTGCTTAAGACTTCATTCTCCTTCCAAAACTTAGACAATTCCATTTCCTTATGTTTCAAATAATTCTGCTATGTCCAGAGATGACTGGAGCACAGTTAAACCCTCTCCCTGGGTAACAAAAGGAATGGAAAGGCCACAGCTGAGCATGTGAACACTCTTCTGCAGCCCCCTCCTCCCATCCCAATCCTGGTGGGGGGCACAGAAGGTGGTGGTATGGAAGTATAAATAAAATGTGTAGAAGAACACAAGACATGTTGATAAAACAGGAGAGAGGCAGAGGCAATTTGAGGTACTGCAAGGCAAAAGAAACTCTCCACGGCTAGGAAACCATGACCCCCCTTTGCCTGGCTATCACAGAGCATGTGTTCTTGGTCTTTCGCCTTGCTCTAAACAAGCCAGTTTTAGTTTCTGCAACTTTCCTCAAACTTTCCACCTGACTCTAAAGGCTCCTGCCCACAGCCTGCTTTTCTGTATGTACATTCAGGCAGACTCATCAGGAAACCCATACATGAAAAGATGTTACTGATTAAAAGGGAAAACCCTGCAGCCCCACCACAAACTGCTTTATCCAAATGTCAATAAATATTTACAAAGTCAGAAAAATATGTTTATAAACCCAGACATGCTCTAAGGGCTTGAACATTTCATATACTTCACACAGCTTCAATCAGAAGTGCAGGTCATGTCCAAACAGATTGCACCCTTTCAGTTTTGTATGTCTCTTGCAGACCTGAACTCTGGTCTGAACAGAACGGGAAACTGAAATCAGTTTTATTCGGTTTTTTGCAGAGCCAGAGCTCTCCAGCTGCCCAACATTTTTTTTTTCCCTGTTCATGCCCTGGTAAGATTAGCAATGCAGCAGTGACGGTATCTCTTGATTTGTAAGCAGACAGCAGTCCAGTAATTCTCTCTCAGTAAGAGCATAAGATTTTTAAATTAGCAAACAATGAATTCACTCTCAGGGACTTTCCATGTCCTGTCGGAAATAGCACAGCAAGGGACTTTCCAGAGAAGAGCTGAGCTGCTGCAGGACGTTACAAATGCTGCTGGCTCAAATGCAATTGTGCTGCACCAGGAAACTCCGCTCTGTGGCACCCGAAGAACCAACCCACCCACGAGGCAGGGCTCAACCTCAGCCCACAGGACCAGGAGAGACACAGTTGCTTGACACCTCCTTTCAGCCCTGCTCAGCCACACATACCATCTCCTAAGCTGTGACCCCATGAGGACAGCCAGGCCTGATTAAATGCCACAGCTCTTTGGCAAGCGGCTGGGAGGAGGGATAACACAAACCAGACCTTGCCTCCTCCCACAGTTCCCAGGAAAGAACCAACTTTTCCCAGAGGGCACCAAATAACCCCCACAGACTGGATGTCCCCGTGGCAGGCAAGAGAGGCAAAGCTTAGTCCTAAGCCCAGCAGGCAGCACCACTGGAGACCGCAGTTCCCACCACATGGGACTGCCCCCAGACTCAAACACCATCACAGCCCAGAGCTGCAGACCTGCAGTCTAGGCACCCTGGAGCCTCTAGGAAACACACCCTGTTTTAGTACAGCACCTCACAGGACCTTTTGAAGATGAAGTTAAGAGTAAAAAAGACACAGTTCAGAGCAGCTGTGCAGATCCCAGAGCATCACACACACACACAGCCTTGCAAGACTTATCCCAGTGCAAGCCCTGGCTGGACTCGACCCTGTGTTCCAACACCTGTAAGACCACACAGGGAGGACCTTTGGCAGATGATGATTTTTGCTGAGCTCTGCAGGAACTCTTGAAGAGGTTGTGTTTTTTTTTAACCGAGGAGAAAAACTTCAGAAGAGCTCATCAGTCATAGCACCATCAGTAGCACTGGAAGATGCTGAAAAACACACCTTGTTTGGTGTAACAGATAAGCTCACTCACTAATCTCCACTCTGAGCACCACAGCAGGCATCACACTCCTAGTCACTGCTCACCAGCAGAAATTGAAGTGCGGGTCAATCTGCAAGCACCAACCACACATCTTGGATCTGGAACCTCAGCAAAACACACCATGCCCTGAAAGGCAACTTCCAGACTCTCTCTGCTGCATCAGTGTTCAGCTTTGAGATGGACATTCATTCAGCCATAGATCCACACTGTGAGCCAGGTATAGACCCATGAGTGAGGGTTTCACAGCAGGAGAACCATTCTGCACCCTACATCCCCTCATCTTCTGGACCAAACCTTTAGCATAAGGAAGTGGAAGGTTCTACACAGAGACAAGGAAGAAGAAAAGCTGTCAATGGGCTCAGCAAGCCAGATAGAAAGCTCAGGCACAATCCAGAGCTGTTGTCTCTTCTGCCACCTTGCAGCAGCACTGCTGCAATCCTAAGAGAATCCAAATGTTACCCTAGACAGATCAAGGTTACACCTTTTCCTGACCCACATGTCAGTCACTACCATGAAGCACAGGGCTACAATCTTTACCTGCAGCAAGGTTAGAGGGAAATAACATTTATTCCTCTTATCTGAGGCCCCAAACGTGGCTGTTCTTCCAATTCAAGAAGGATGACAAAACTGTCCTTCAGGAGCACCCAAGCTTCACAGGTCACTATCCACTCACAGCTAGCTGCCAACACACTGTAAGGGTGCAGGCTGCTACAGCAGAGCCGACTTGTTGGGAGGCATGAGGCCCCCTGCCACTCCCAGCAAGAACATGTTTCTCATCAGGCTTGTTAGCTGTACACATGTCAAGCAACAGGGCCACAAAAAGGCCTGGACAAAGAGCTGATGGGCAATTTGAGAAGAGCAGGCCTGGAAAAACCATCCTGGCCAGCAGGCTGGTGGCCGAGAACAGCCTGGGGCAATGAGTGGGCAGCCAGTGACCAGGGCCTAGTCCTACTGCCCAGAGGTGGCTGAGAACAGAACTGTAGCCAGGCCACTTTCCCCAGGTTCATGGGCCCGAACTAGGTTTTAGGTTCACATAATGCAGAGAACTTCATGGCAGAGCACTGCCTGACAGTTTGCTTTTCTGTTGCAGCAGAAAGGAGCTGGTGATGAAGCAGGTGGTTCCCACCATGGACATGCTGGGTGCCTACCATCACAGCTGAGTCTGAAATGGTTTCTCAGCAGGGTATACAGACCTACCTCAGCCAAACCTCTTCAGCTCACAGTGAAGTGTGGGGCGCTGACAGCTTCCAGAGGACAAGGAAAACCACCAGAGCCTTTCCCAGACACACAGGAAAGAGAAAGGATGCAGACACCAAGAGCCCTGCTTTGATCTTTACCTCATATTCTTTAATAGTTCCCTTCCACGTGCAGCCACTGTTGATGCAGACAGCAGGCAGACTTTCCACTTCCCGACGAGCAGCATTGTCTGGGAAAGCCTAAAATGGAAAAAAAAAACCCCAAAACAGAAAATGGCTGAGGGGTTGCAGTTTTGGTAAGGAATTTTAATTCTTTACGAAAACTTTCCTAAGACTCCTCCCAGGCTAGTTACCACATCACCTCCTCAGAGGTGTGCTAATGGCAAACAAATCATTACTGCCACGTTTAATTAGGGCAGCAGTACAGGAACATGGATTGTAGAAGCTGGGGAGTCCACCACATGAGTGATTAACTCTCACTATGAAGAAAATGTTTCCTAGGAAGCAGGGATTCTCCAGAACTTGTGTAAACTGCAAGTGGTATTGAATGACATCAGTGAGCTCCTTTATTTTTTAAAATGCATTTTTACTTACTGAGTTGGGTTCCAAAATAGAAATTCCTTCTTCATATATTCCTTCCTGAATACAGCTGGCACACTTCTGAGGTCCAGCACTACCAGATGGAAAAGTAACCATCACACACAACAAATAGACTAATTTACGATTTAACAATAAAACATTTGCTGGTAACTTTATAACATTCAAGCATTTTCTTATTTTTAAAACAACACATTGAACCTTTGCTCCTGTGTATTTCTGATACCCACTTCTGATTCTAATTTTTTTCCTTCTCCTGATTAATTACTCTATTCAACTTCCCTTACTTAAAGGCAAGAGCAAGACAGGACACTACGTAACTTTTCTGGAAGGCAGCACGTGCTTAAGATTTCCCACATTTTGCTACAACAACCATACAGTGATTTTGAGGAAAAAGTTCTTCAGGAGCTGCAATGAAGGCTGAAGGAGATGGGTGATTCTCCTGGTTGCCACCTGATCCAGGAGGCTCCAGGAGGTTCTGGAAAAGGGAACTCTGATGAACCCCTGGAACAATAACAGCAACTCAGAGCTGACACATTCCCTTAAAAACCTGATGCTAAACCTCAATGATAAAACACAGCTACCTCACCAAGAAGGCCCTGAAAATGAGACTTTTCTCTCTTTTTTTGCTTGAAAATGTCCTTTCAAGCACTTAAGTCTTCAGACTAAGGCACCAAAGTTACCTTATAATTTTCTTCAGGCAATAGCAACAGTAGCGATGTCCACACTGAGCTTGGACTGGCCTTCTCAAGATATTTTTGCAATCAGAGCAGAGATATTTGACCTCCAGTTTAGTTCCCAGGATCTCCTTTGCAAATCCAGGCTGGTCTAGATCCAAAGAGCTCGGTGGACTAGAGTTTGCTGCTGCCATGTGAACAAAAAATTCTGACTGTATCTCCAGAGCCTGAAAAGGAAAATATTTTCCCTGTTTGATTATAACTGGATGATAGAATTTTTTCACATAAACTGCATTGCTCACAGCACCCAAACCCCAACAACAGGGGGAAACACAGCAATGTAACCCACACAACTGCCTGCACCTAGTTAAAAGTAGGGAACCTTTACAGTTAATTGTAAAACTAAATGGACAACAAAGACAAGAGTGGGCAGACCCCACTGAAATACCCATCCAAGTTTATTTAGAAGCAGCCTAGACCAAGGAGTCGAGGTTTCTGGCTCAAACCAAGGTAAAATCCATCCTAAATCTGACCTGAAACATAAATACATCGCCTCAGCCCAGCCCCCCTTGTCTGCCCGTCTGTCCGTGGTGCAAGGGAACAGGAACCCCGCCCGGAGCCGCCGCGGGGCCCGATTGACCGGCGATGCCCCGGCAGGTGCGCGGGGCCCTGCGGGGCCGCCCGAGGCACCGGCAGAGCAGGAAGGGGCAGAACGAAACGCGA